ATCTTCCTACAACACAAGTCAGACGATGTCTCTGCTGCTTAAAATACCTCAGTGGCTTCCCACAGGACAAAGTTCAAACCCCTCAACACAGCTTCCACAGCCCTGCACGATCCCAATCTTGAGCCACCCTGAAATATCTGTAGTGCATGATACTCTTGCTATCAGGCCTTAGAACATGCTGTTCCTTCCACCTGAACATTCCTCCTGTACCCCAAAGCCAACCTCTTCCTCTGGTTCATTTCTACTTTGTTCTCAGGCCTCTGCTACATCCCTTCTAGAAGTCTTCCTAGGCTCCCCTCCCCCTTCCCAACGAGTGGGTTGGGTGTTGTTCTCTGTGCTCTGGAACATCCTGGGCTTGCTGTTTCATGTCGGTCTCACTGTGTCTCTCCCTCTGGATGGAGAGGAACAACATCTGCCTCTTTAACTGCCATGTCCCCAGGGCCTAATGCAGTATCTGGTATTTAGTATGCATTCAAAAACGTTTGCAGAGTGACAGAATGAGTTGCAAAAAATGCCCTATGACCTCTTCTGACGAGACATCATAACATGTTACTACGGGGAAGGTAACAGGGCCAAGGCCTCTAAGCTTCCACTCCAGCCTGTAGAGGCCTGGGGATCTGAGATGACGAGACTTGCAGTCCTCATGTAGGGGTGAGGAGCATAGCATGAAGGCTCCTCTGAGGGTGCCCACCTACCTTTACCGTTCCCTCCACCTCCACAAACCAGCGCCTCAACATGGCCTGGATCTGGCCATCTGTCAGCTCGGGGTTGGCATTGTGGATTTTCTTCTTGACCAGGTCCTCCAGCAGGAGACGCCTCAACCGCCAGTAGAAGAAGGTACGGGATGTTTTCCAGTCCAGGATGTCCTATATACAGACAAAAATAAACTTAAGTCACCCCAGTCCAGAGCCCTGCTCAGTGCCCAGTCCAGAGGGAACTCCACAGGCACAAAAACACAGCAAGCCACTCAGATTCGAGAGCCAGCTGCAAATCCCCTGCTCCTCAGATGTGTCCCCCGTTCAAGATGCAGCCCCCCTCACCCTGCTGACCACAGCACTGTGCACAGTGATGGCTGGCTAACGTGTAACCCCAGTCATGGCCGAGATGTTCTAGGGGAGGGGTTGCGAAGTCCCAGATAACCAGAGTGAGGAGCTAGATTGAGCAGATGGCTCCAACAACTTGCATGAAAATCAAGTGTGAGTTAGCTGCTGCTGGACCCTGAGCACCACCTAGGCAGCTCTCCCTAGTGGAGGCACATGTGACTCAGTTTCCCACCAGTGAAATGAAGCTTGCCTCCTGAGGAGTTCAGGAGGTAACCTAAATCACAAATTGTTTAAGGATGATAGCAGATATTAGAAAAAGGGAAAAATCTCTCCAAAACATGGAAAATGCTTGATCTGCACACGTTGTTTTAATCCAGCCCCATCAGCTCCCTGCTTATGAGTGAGTCTGTGGGCATGAGACACACACTCCCTTGCCCACGGGTCTGACAGGTCAGAAGCAGCAACCACTGTACTTACGTTAATAACACCCTTCTCCTGCAGTCGGCCTGGTGTGTCGTGCAAGTCAGCAAACTGCACGGCTACCTGATGGTAAATGGGAATCAGGAATTCCTCCCTCTCCTTCAGCTTGTTCTCCAGCTCCTTCCGCTCAGTTGCACTGAGCTCTGGGGTGCCTGCAATTAAAGCAACCTGCCTTGCATACTCTGTGGTGACCAGGAATCTCTCTGCTCAGGAGCAGCCAGTCATGGGAAGTTCAAAATTGCCCCTCCTTCTGTGACCTGCTCTCCACTGTCTTCACCACCTCTCTGCTGAGTAACAGAAAGGACTCATCAAGATGCCAGTCCCATCTTTACCTTGCCACAGGAAGCCCGCATGTCCTCCTTTCCCTGTGGAGGTCACAACGATGGAAGCAGCCACGGGAGTCCCTGTCCTCAGGCCGCTCCCTGAGCAGGTGCAAACAACCACCTGGAGGCCAGTGTGTCTCATCATCTCACTGACTGACAGCCAGGCCCCTCCTTCACCAGCAAAGGACCTCATGCCCATGCCGTGACCAGCATTAGAGCTGCTGGACTATCAGAGTGTGGACTGTGGTGGGACAGCATCCCCTGTGCTTCTGAGCACAAACCACAGCTCTTCTCATGTCCATACCAGCACCCACACTACTTGATAAGGATCCAAATGACTTCTAAAGTTGCAAGCTGCTTTATTCCACAGCTTCTCTTCTCAGGTTTGGATGCTCTTAACCTGAAATTAGTAGAATCCAATCTAATCAGAGCCGGGTCTGGGTGTCTCATGCCAGCTCTGTGGGCTCCTGCCTGGGCTGCTAATGACAGAGCCGACCCCTGAACACAATGACAATGACATTCTAGTTCTTGGGTTAAAAGAGAAGGAAGAGGGAATAAGAGAAAGGCAGCCCACCAACCCCACCTGGGTCAACTGAGCTTCTGAAACACACAGTGCCCTCCTCACTCAGACCCGACACCTTGGAATTCCTTATACAAGGGCCCCTCCCCCATCAACAGTGCCCAGTAGAGGGGCTGCTCTGTTGTACTTTTATTCCTAATTACTCTCATAGTGGGACTGGCAATCAATACTGAAAATTTAGTTGCCTGCCTGGTAAGGAGGAGTAAGTCTAGCCGAAGGAGCAATAGGTGATAGCCCCTGGAGGTGAGGACAACCCGAAGTGCTTTGTCACCAAAGCTGACAAATAAATACATGGCCACAGGTGATAGGATGCAGAGGAGAAAGGTCTTTTTCTGTCTGGGAACAGGCCTTGCTGTTTATGCCACTATGAATCATATGCCATAAATAGCCTTGGGCTGCTGAGTGAGCCGTAAGTATTATATACAAACACATGTTAATGGAACAGGGATGTAACTATAGTACCTAGTTTCATTTTTATGAGGTTTTTGGATGCCCAACTCTACCCTTTTATTTTTTTTTAAACCCATCACTACTTTAAAACTGTAAAGAACAGTGCTGGAGGCTATCTTTTCTTGGGCTCTCACACAGAGGACAATCACGGACTTGTCACTTTGGGTCCCTGACACCTCAGCAGCCTTCTTTCCAAACCAGGAAAACAGCATGATGGCACTGGGCCCCATGCTGTGGGCTGAGATGAAGGCCCATTCATTCTAACGTGGATCTGCTTGGAGAACTGATGAGCAGGGCCCGGCTGCTTTCTTCTGAGGCTAGACCGTCTCAGGTATAACACCCTTGACAGGGAAGCAAACATTTTTCCTCCTGCAGTAAAAGGAACCAAGACGCCTTGGAGAAACAGTTGATTCCAGGACTGGGGCAGGGAAAATATAAGATGAGCCTAGAACATATTGTCACAAAGAACAGGAAGCATGAAAAATGATTGGGACATGTTAAAAGGACACGGAAGCTATTCCGAGCGTACTCCCACTGGCCAAATCTGGGACAATTTGAGTAGCAAATTTATCAAAAAAGATAATGTACTTATTATCAGACTGATCATATATGGAATCAAGTAAGAGCTTGTGATTCCATCCTGATATAAATGATTAAGTGGGAGTGAAGGGAAGGGAAAGCTCTCCCTTCTAGCAGAATTAACAGTTAATAGACATAGAGGAATGATGGGACTAGGAGATTACCATTGTACAACCACCACAGTAACTGATTTTGCCAAGAATTATCAATGGATTCTAAAACCAGCAGGTGAAAGTTTGACGAGGAACAGGATATTTACATAGTCTCACAGTATCTCCTTACAAATACTTATTAATTACAGCGGAGAAAATGGTAATTTTACAGTGGATTAACCTAGTGAACAGAACCTTAAACAACAGGTGATAAGAGTTGCCAGTACCAAGAACAGGACACACTGTCACCATGTGCCTCCTGGTAAATGTCTGGAGGACACAATATCACTTCTGCAATATTCCTGCCCAAAACACACAGTCTGAGGCTAACCATGGGGAAATATGAGACAAGCCCAAATTGAGGAACATGCTACAGAAAAGTGCCCTGTACTCTTAAAAAAAAATCCAGATCATGAAAGACAAGGAAAGGCCAAAGAATTCCAGATTCAAGTAGACTAAAAATACTTGGCAACAATTATAATGTGTGATCTAATTTTAGATCAAAAAACCCCCCTAAAACTAGATAGGACGTTACTGGGACAATTGGCAAAATTTTAATATGAATCATGGATTAGACAGTAGTGTTGAATCATTGTTATAATTCCTGATTTTGATAAATGTATTGTGGTTATGTAAGGGAGCATGTGTTCTTAGAAACACACACTAAAGATTTATGGATAAAGGAGCATGATGTCTACAGATTATTCTCCAACGGCTCAAAGGATATGTGTGTGTGCGCGCCCATCTGTGCGCGCTCGCCTGTGTGTGTAGAGAGTGAGCGAGCACATGCATGTGAGCACGCAGAAATAAACGGTAAAGCAAAGGAGACAGGATGTTAACAATAGGTGAATCTGAAAACAAGGCATCAGAAATCCTTTGTACTATTTTTATAACTTTTCTGTAGAATTATATCAAATGGAAAGTTAAAAAAATATGCCTAACTAAAAAAGTTTTTCCTGGTGCCCCAATGCATACAAGCAGTAATCAAAGCTATAGTTTACTGGGTACTGGGCACTATTCTAAGTGCTTTATATCTATTACCTCATTTCATCCTTACAACAACCTTAGGAGTTTGGTATTCTTATTATCCTCATCATACAGGTGAGGAAACTGAGAATTTATGTACCTTCCCAAGGTCATAAAGCCAGAAAAGGGCAGAGCCAGGTCTCATGTGCAGCAGAATGGCTCCCCTAGCTTTTGGACCCTATGCCATGTTGTCTCTACAGCTTACTTGCGGTAGAGGACATATGCTTTTGTGATAATGTCCCTTTGATTTCAGGCCGGTGAGGCTGAAGTTCCATCTTAGTCCCATTCCACAACCGAGACTAAGATGATGTCTCCAGAAATTCCCATTCTGTAGGTTAGACTTCAGATTTAAGGGTAGCTCCTCCTGTTATTGTGAAGATGGAGAACTAACACAACAGCCCTGCTGGGAGGGCGAAAGATGACAGGACTGTGGGCACAGATGAGTAGGGAGTTTCAGACCTTTATAACATTCTCCTGGGTAAACAACCAACACTGTGCTGGTATGCACATCTATGTTTATGTGCATCTTATAACAAATACCACTTCCTGAGCATTTACTGTGTGCCAGGCACTGCACTCAATGCTTTCAGGATCACACAGCTCATAAGCCAGCATGCACAATTCAGACGTAGGTCTGATCAACTGTTACCACCGCTGCCAAGCTGAATACCTAAATATCACTGAGCGTTTTCCAAGTTGCTTCACACACACCATTTCTAGTCCTTATATCAACCCAACCTTAGAAAAAGGGTGTCTATTTTACAAATGAGAAAACCAAGGCTCTGAAACCCCAGTAAAGTGACTTGCCCAATGGCATCCAGCTCTTAAGCCACACAGGATTTGCACTTGCGGTTGGGTGTCGCTGAGGCATGTGTTCCTCACATTAAATGGTACTGAAGAGGAATCAGCTGGAGAGTTTGGTTGATTGGGTTAGAGAGCAGTTAAGAGCGCAGCTCAGCACTGGGTGCAGGGGGGAGGACTATGAGCTTAGGAGCAGAACATTCTGGGAACAAGGCCTTGACAGAGGAGAGGAGGCTGGCTCCTGGGCTAACAAAGGTCTTGTCCATCCAATCAAGCTATTCTAGACCTTTGAAAGGATAACAAAATAAACACCTGCAATGTTCTGCCTCCGAGACTAGGAAGATCACAGAGCATCCCCCAAAGGCGGCCCTGCTTGAGCCCTTCAGTAAAGCTTCCCATCCCATTCACGACCTACCTCAGGAAGCATCAAAGCAAGGGAAAGACACAGGTAGGGAATGTATGCATTTGAATCCTCACCTGAGGATATTTTTTCCATTGCTTTTCAGAGTAGAAGGACGAGAGACAGAGAGAAACACTGACATGAGAGAAACGCATTGATTGGTTGCCTCCTGCACGCACCCTGACGGGGGATCGTGCCTATAACCGAGGTACATGCAGTTGACCGGAATCGAACCCAAGACTGTTCAGTCTGCGGTTGATGCTCTAACCACTGAGTCAAACTGACTAGGGTGGGAATGTATGTATTTTAAATGCACACGAGAAAGCTGAGGATTTGTGTGCTTTGTTTTAAGGGGGAGAAAACAGGTTTTCTAAGTTTTATTTTCTAAAAATAAAATGCTGCTGTTAAGCTAGTTAGACCCTTGTGCAGCACACCAAGGGCCCCGCTCTCCTTGTACAGCAAAGCAGCCAGCCCCGGTAATGATTTAGGGGAGATTAACAAATATGTCAATGTCTATTTTCTGCTTAATTTAAAAGCGGCGTCTATAAAGATTTTTGACTTCTGAACCCTGTTCTCCTGAAAGAAAGAAGGTAAGAATGAGGACGGGGTAAAGAGTGATTATCCCGTCATTGATCGCTTGTCAGGAGCATTCTTATTCGCTGGACTATTGTGAAAAGCTAAGCTCTCGATCAATCCTGTAAGCTCCCTGCACAATTAAATATCTTGGAATGGTTTTCTTTCTTTTCTCGCCAGATTGCAGGGCCTCGGGGTTTTTAGGGAAGCAAGTCGGTGTGTGTGAGTTTAAGAATATGCTGCAGAGAGGAAAGTCATTCTTTTCTAG